GAAGAAGATTACGTGATCTCAACGACTTGAAGGCGCGATGGGCGGAGTCGCGCCGCCTCAAATGGGCGGCGCGACCCCGCCCATCGCGCCAAACGACATACACCCACCGACAATGTTCAGCACTGTCAACAAGTGTCCGGCAATGGTGCGTTTCAACGCACGTCGTTGAACTCTGAAAGCACCTAAGGATAAGAAATTGTTAACGGAAAGGCGTAGGCATAGCATATTATTGTGGGTCTCGCAATTATATTATGTCTCTGCACATGCAGCCACTTGTTTAGAAAACGCCAACACTACGACCCGTTAGAGCGCACATGAAGTTTGATATTTTCGTCTGACAGTGCATAAAAGTCTTATGGGAGCTGGTTTGCGAGTAGTTGTTGAATCTGAGCCGGATTCGTCGCTTTGCGGCGAGAGCGACGTCACGCGCGAAGGGATGTAGCAGCATAACTGCTTTCAGACTTCGGCGTCCGTCCGTCCGGCGCGTTGCGTGCGTGCGACGGCGGACCTAACCACTTCTTTTGTGTTCAAGTGGGCTAGGGCCGCCGTCGCACGCACGCAACGCGCCGGACGGACGGACGTCCAAGTCTGAAAGCAGCCAATGAAGCAGGAGAAGCGCAGCAAAAAAGAAATACAGGAGCAAAAGAAGTAACATCAGAGTCATGGTGTATGAAGAACGCTAGAACTGCAATGACGAGGCAACACGTTAGCGACCTGTGTGGGGCGAATCCATTATATGAAACCGATTTAACTGCCTGTCTCCCAACTCCACTATTTGCACACGATGCAGTTGAATAGCATCCTATCATGCACAACCTGATGTAGTCTCTGCATCCATGTCATAATTTAGGATGTGCAGCCAGTTAGACCGTAATAAAAACCGTAGAAATGATGCGTGTATGAAACAGTCCGTCAAAATAATTGCATTTTTTTAATGATTCGCGACAAGTCATAAGTACAAGGATATGGCCGATATGCCTGAAAAACTAGCAACTACCAGTAGCGCAACGTACAAATTGCGGAAAGACAATAGCTGACATTAACAAAATTTCGTGACTTAGAAATGAGAAACCGAAAAGAATCCAACGGCGAAGGGTGAAAAAGAGCATGCAAAAAATTGGAAAAGCATAACGTACACAACAACTCTGCAAAAACCCGGGCAATATTCGAGACAAAGCACATTGTTAGTAGTCACAGATTCTCCTCTGCAGTTATTACAGGACGAGTAAATAGAACCAATAAAATAGTGAAAATCATATGCAATGGCGTACAACAGCAGCGATGTTAAACATAAGAAAAATACATATCATGTCAGGAACACTGAAGAGAGAAAGCTGAGCGAGGAATAAACGAATCAGGCATCTAACATATCATCAGCTAAATCGGTGAGGGGATCTTCAGTTTCTTCGAGAATTTCAAAACCGTCATCGATGACATAATTAGGGGCGCACATGTCGTCAAATTCTGAAAACCATGACGTAAAATTTAAAAAAAGTCGATACACTAGTGAGCATTCCCCAGATTTAAGTACTGTCGCTTTTTGTGTGAACCAGACAACGAAAACGAGAATTATAATACATCTTAAGAAAATTGAAAAAAAGTTAAGAGCGACCTTTCATTTCAATTTTCGCCTTCACACCCGTGTAAGGTTCGAAAGGTGGCCAGTACTTCGGACGGTTTTCCAATTGCTCGAAAAGGGGTGGTTGTGAAGCCGGAAACACCTCCTGAAAAATTTATGACAAAATCAATGTATTTTCTTTATATTCGTAAGGCACAATAATTGAACGATATATACAAACATTTTTGAGATCAAGAGTAAGCCTTTCAAACGCATCCGCCGACTCGCAAAAGAATGCCAGTGCCATCGATGGATCGATCTTAATGAGTAACATAATGCTGCTACAGAAACGACACATTAGTAAGAGCTCCAGAAATACCTGGTCATAACTCATGTGAAGAAGCATTTTACAATGAAATGAACTATCATCCAGAGTTTCGTCGTTCAATCCTTTGAGAGATACGGAAGCGGGTACATCTTCGTTCTGAGAATATATCTAATACTGAAGACCAAAACTTCCATAGATAGAAAAGTTTAGGTTTGCAGGAGTAAAACTGTAGCTCACACTCAACGTGGACGTTAGAATAAAAAATTACCACATCAAGCGCATCAAATCCATCCTCAAATCTCGTATTCCCATATTTTTCTAGAACTGAGGGGCGGCAATAGTGAGGATCAAGGTAGATGAGCTATAATACGTGAATATCAATCAAGCATTCCAGTCGATTAAATATGAATATGAATGATGAAGTAATTACCAAGCCTCTCACCTTATCACCTGCTATACCAATGAAGTAAAGTGCATGGTTAGGCCTACCTCCAATTATACCAACACATGAATCGAGTTTGAAGTAATTCTGCAAGGTACCGAATGAGAATAACGTATGCAGCACTCTTGATTTTTGAAACAATGAACCTCAATAGCAGGTAGGTAACAACGGTTAATACTGGTCAGTCCCAGCCGTAAAGGGACAAGTATCAGAAGTGGTCGCCAATCGCACTTTTGGTCGTCCGACACTGAAGACTCATTGACGAGCGTAAGATATGATTCATCCACATTTCGATTATCTTCTGAAATGAAGCACACAATTCGTATAGCATGCTAAATGAGGTTATATAATTTAACATAAAGCTCACCCATAATTAATTTGATGGCATCTTTGGGAGGCGCTAAAGTGGCTATGGTTTGCACATCACTTGATACAAGAATGTTATCAAGGGCCACATGTACGGCTATTCCTGACCATGAATCAAACACAGCGAGCTTTTTTATAACCTCAATCAAAATATTCCGGCTGATATAGAATGGAAGGGCACAAGAGGAAGTCAGAATAATTAAAGACGAATGGTAAGAAAAACAGTAAGCACCTGCGCCGCCGTGTTGGGCCCAAACCATTCACCGACGGATTTTCCTTCAGAAACACCCATTTGAGCTGAAGTACGAGTTTATTTTTTAAAAGCTATATAAAAAAGGAATCAAAAGACACAAAGGGTCAAAGTGAAAAGCCTGAATTTGGAAAAATTGATAAGCCAGAACCATCAAAGTAGGAAGATGGTAGAAAACAAATTTGACTCTCAAAGTTTCTTGCTCACCTATTTGATGAATTGAGAAGAGAGCAGTCTTTTCATCTAGAAACATCCTGAGAATGCGTTCGTAGTCGCCTGATGGTGGATTGCCCTCCTTCCATTCAAAATTTCTCCCAATGTGCCTTCGTAGCAGGACTTCGCCAAGTAGCATTTGGGCACATCGCAACATGCACCCCCATCCTTGATCGGTTTCCGGCCCCGTTCCACCTTCAAGGAAGCAAATCAAATTGGCCTTATGCAGATTTGAAACCAAAATAAGTAATGAAAGCTGCAGAATGCCTCAGTAAAGAAACAACACACGGAGGCGAATAATAACAAAGACTGATAGTAATCTCGATGGTGATAAATTATCTTTGCTAGCTACAAGCTGCTAGTTTTATGAAGGAAAAGATAGTCTACCTATAAGTTTCCTGCAAATGAAAGGTTAAGCTATCATTGGTGGTCTTATTGTTGTTTAGCTGTCTCACTATGCAGCATGTCATCCGCCAAATTCAAAGCGCCGTACATACCCACCTCCGTTGTTGTCTTCTATACTAAAACTCACCTATAGGCGCGAAATTCCTTCGATACGTGAACCAGAAACGCGAGGTGACGTACTTCTTCAACGGCTCGAGTCCTAGGAATTTTAAATTGATATCCTTTGCAGCAAAAGCACAATTTTATCACTTCGTGACACCTACTATACCATGGTTCTTTGAAAGAGTAGGAATATTCTCCGATGTTTAGAGGTTTCCCAAAACAGAATTAACTTTCGAGGTGTGCCTAGTTATAGGAAGCTCCATGAAAATAAAGTGCCACAGCTGAGTGCAACTATCCCAAATACTCGAACAACTTTCTCATTGAGACCTGATTTGAAGAAAAAGATAATTTCGCCGATTCGCCTTCCAAATTCTTACAGTGCGCTTATTGAAGATCAATATATAGTACCGTTCAAAAAGAAATCACCTTGAACCTTTTTTGCCATAACTCATCTCAAACTTAATTTTTCTACCTGATTTTTTGACAGCACACTTTTCAAACATTACCGACTCTCCTGCGATGCAGAATTAGCGGTNAATTCTGCATCGCAGGAGAGTCGGTAATGTTTGAAAAGTGTGCTGTCAAAAAATCAGGTAGAAAAATTAAGTTTGAGATGAGTTATGGCAGAAAAGGTTCAAGGTGATTTCTTTTTGAACGGTACTGTATGTAACCCTAAAGCTTATAGCGAATTTGATGAGACTTCACCATCAAATTGGAGCTGGCGCGAAAGACTAACGTTGAATTTATCAAAAGAGCACCAAGTAAATTTTGAAATGGCGGTATGCCCGCTCACAGCACTCTATTACCCTTGATAGCAAAATCCAATAAAAAACGGGATTTTGGAGGAGTAATTGAGGAGTGGAACCAATGAGAAAATCCTTCAACAAAGGTGAGCGCAAGAACTGCCTAATACTCAAGCGACAAAAAAATCGGAACTTGCAAGAAAAATCTTTCCTTTCCTGATATGTGATACGCTGGAAAGCTTGAAAGTTGCTCCTTAAACTGCTAACTCGTCTTTCGCAATGTCTGAATGAACGCAAAAAGCCTTCTAATAAGAAATACTTGGCATCCGTAGCCTAATCACATGGGTTTGGTCGAAATAACGTTTTCAGCGTTTTTAAATAAGAACTCTGTATCTTGGGGAGTAAGAACATTCACCGAATGACGGACGCTGAGACCTCTAATGCATATGTCTTCAATTTTTCTACATGAGCACGACAAGAAACATTCTGGTTCCAGCACTTCTTTTTCTCTACCAGCTTTCCAATATACTCCACAGGCGTGGGCTATAGGGCAAATGAAAAACCTGTCAATTCATAATCAAGCATTTCAAACAGGATACACCGCCTTACCAGAGCGTATGTGCTCCGAAAAGTGACCGATTAGCCTTTCCCAGACTCAAGCCCATAAGAGAGAGCTGCACACCCAAAATCGCAGTAGGCGGATTAGTTTTGTCGCAGTGTAAGAGTTTGCGTATCGTGACCTACTAAGCTCCATTCAACTCGTAATGGAAACGAACAAAAGAAAGTGAAAGGAAATGAGTACCTGCCCTTTTGTCGAATCGTTTTCCAAGAACAACAACATGATCAGAAGTTTCAAAGAGTGTGTTATCTTGTAATTCCCAAAATGAGGGTTCGAATGTGAGGTACGAATCAACCATGGTCCAGCCTCACAGTATGTCTACCTGAAACTAGGAGAGAGCCAGCTTGAAAAGAGCAAACTGTTTAAAATTCAACGCTACGGTAATCGATGAAATGAAACACCAAGCGCATTCAATCCCAAATAAATATCGAGTGCGTACTTGATGGTACTGTGTCGCACGCAGTGTTCATGATGAGGTAAGAGAGAAGCACTTCCAGAAATGAGTTGAACAGGCGGTAGATCACTGTGGAAGATGAATACTCCGTGTTACTTATATCTACCCTTGGTAGCGGACTGGAGCCCAGCATTTGGCTCACCAGCAACCCCGTGTACTTACCCAAGGCATTTTCCTACGCATATTATATACGGAGCCGGGTTTGTAACGTGGTAAACGTGTTGGGGCATCCCTTTATATGTCCTTTTGATACGCAAGTCTACGCAGTAGACTTACCACACCACGGATCGTAATAAATGCGGCCAAACGATGATGGGGCAGTATACAGTGGGAAAGCAGCAGAGGAGCAGACTATTTCCCCAAAAACTAGTCACTCAGAGAAAAGTCGTGTTCCTCTAGACTCTCGATAAGATGTCGAAGCCCCAACGTCTCGTTATCGCCCGAAACTGTTGTTACATTCGCTGATGGTGCAAAATTGCCAATTTTTCGCTCGTCCATCACTTATCTAACACCGGCAATGGAAAAAGGTGGTCTAAAAAGTCACAACAGGACATATCCCAACAACTACANCTATTTCACGCCGTTTTCTTTATTTTTGAGCAGGTTGAGGTACAGGGTTCAATAATTTCATCCCACGAGTTCGACACCATACCAAGCGCTTCGCAATGGTTACAGTACACAATGGATTCTCAACAGTTTCATATACACTGGGTTCTCAGCAGTTTTTTTCTTATTGCACTTGCTTATAAAATGGGATTATCTACCTTTCCTGGAAACGATCACGGTTTCTTTTCTTGGCAGTGGGTGAGCATCAACAGAAATTCGACTCAAATTTCACTTAAACTTTGGGTGCTTTTATATGCCTCGTGGGTGTGTTCCTAGGCAACGGTTAAACGTCTTGTATTTATACACCATACTCTTTTTTTTCGGAATCGCTATGAGCTTGCCTTTTACAGTAATGCATGGAATGTTCTTTTCATATTTTACATCAAACTAAATAATCATCCCGGAAAAAAAGCATCAGGGTAACCTCAAACATTTCTTCCAAATTATGAAACTTCTTCCAAATTTTTAGGGAATCGTTCGCGTCAGTTTTTGCCAAGGATTCTGTCTTAACTTTAGAAATCCCAAAAACCAAAAGAAAAAAGAGTGAAGACAATTTCATTAAAGACTCGTATACAAAATGTGGTTCACATGTTGGCACTGCTGTACTGGATTTGTTTATGTATTTCCGGGAAGCCCAATTTCAATTTTCTGTTGGCCTTCTAGACATCGCAGCTCTTTAAGTTAAGGTCATACGTTGATAAAAACTGATGGAAACGATTCCTTAAGTAAGAAGGTAAACGTGGTATATTTGAAGATTGCAATAACGGCCACTCGGTAACTTTCTTGTGCTAGCTTTGCTCCTCCGCCTCGCAGCAAAGTAAGGAGGAACTCTCTAGGTGCTCTTTCGAAGTCCCAATTCGCATGCTTGTGAGAATTCCGTTATTAAAATGAAGGAGTTTTCTTCCGTACGGAACGACTAATCTGAAACTATCGCATGAGCATACCTAACAGAGTTGAAACATCAACACTATTGACCCTAACCCTCAATTCACATATTAAATTCAATGCAATTGAGAAGCAAATCGAGCAACGCAGTCAAGGCGATATCAAATCTCCTAGTTTAACACCGAGATAAATGAAAAGTGGGAACCAAAAGGGCAAGAACCCAGGCTTTGAAGTTTGTTATCAACACCAGCGATTTTGAAATTAGCTCTGGACACTCGTGTAATTGCGTATAATCGGCTACTACAGTAACTTGACGCCGAAGTTCCGATCCTTCTAATAGGTTGTTGCAATAGTCCGGAGACCGCGGATGCACGTTTTCAATTCATTTTACAATTTCGCTAAAAATTTAGAAGTTTAAATATGGCTAGAAGGGGGTGGGTCCTCTGCATCTCTGACACTAGGCGTCGGAGTGCATAGGAAAACGGGCACCAGCATGGCAGGCAGGCCTCTGACAGTGCTTGGGAACGACTGTAAGCTTGGACAAGTATGTCGCAACTAGGCCAGAAGAAGGGAGGATAACTGAGGTGGGTGAGATGCGGGAAGTTGCAATGAAATAAACTACAGCGGAAGGCTGAAGTGAAAATTTTTTACTACGAGTGTAGATCCCGCAAAGTGGTTTTTGAACTGCGTGGATCTATTGGATTATATGGTACTTTTGCACAAAGTTCACATCTCACTCAACCTGGTGCTCCTCCCCACTTAAGGCTTAGTGAGTCCGATTGTAATTCCATTCACAATTTTTTTTTAACTACAACTGTCGCATTGCTAAAAAGAAATATGGCGAGTGGATCACTGACACTGACCTTTCCAAAGCCAGTTCCCCATGACATGCTGGAGTGACGGTAGAGAGCGGAAGGTATCAAGAGCCTCCCCCGAACAATGCGGAGCTTCTGTAGAGAACATATTTCTTTTCAGGGAATAACGTTATTGATTACGAAAATTTCCACCCTTCATATCTACAACGCATTTGCCCGAGGTCTAGGGCAAATACAAGGACCGGGTGATTGAGTAGTCAAGGTCCACGTAGTACGCCCTTGAAAATTGCGCGGATTATGTTGCGCTCCAATGCAAGTGGAGTGACGGCACAGAACTACGCAGCCGCGCGTCGGTGGCGGAAGAGGCTCTTTATGCCTCCCTCCCTGTAGCACTCGTTTGGTCTCTTCAGGCAAGAGAAACTTTGGTTGGGATCACCCCTCATGCGCGTCCCAATGTGATTGGAGCGATTCTTTGCAGGGCCATTTAATTACTTTTACAGGCTTGAAGATGGGGTGAGCACTGTGTTGTGTGAGATGTTCTCTTGTGCAAAAAGGTGGGAATGGAAAATTAACTGAACTTGCAATTTGCTCACCCATCCCGACGCTCCCTCTCTCCTAAGGCTTAGTGGAAAAATCTCCTGATTACGACTCGATCTTAAGCATTATTACAGAATGGCGGAGCCTACTACCTCTACTTCTTTCCTCCTAGAGTTTGAGATGAAGGGTGCCCCTCCCCTACCTCTCCNTCTAAAAAGTCACAACAGGACATATCCCAACAACTACAACAACTATTTCACGCCGTTTTCTTTATTTTTGAGCAGGTTGA